TACTTCTATAATTGTGTAAATTTGTGAAATGATTATTAGTCCTCCAACAAATTTAAAATTGAATTTCAAGTCTAATATTATTAGTTACCTTTTATTTTTTTAAAATCGCACTTTATAGAGATTGAACGCGTCCATCAAACAAAATAGTGTCCGAAGTTTTTAATGTAAAGTGGAAAGGATGATAAACTTTGAAAATCTTTGGAGGACGTGGTATAATAAATGAGGCAGGTACAGCCATAAGTACACCTAGAAATACGTATAAATTAATTTGCTAAAGTTAAAGACTGTATGCCTGGAACGGAATATTACATCTCACAAGCAAAAGATTTCTACAATCAAACACCTGATTTGTTAACAACAAATTTCTTCTATAGAATTAGGAAAACATTTTATAATAAACTCATCCAGTAGTCAAATAAATGAATTCAAAGCCAATTATGAATCTATGGTTTCCTTACCACCATACCTACAATCCGTCCTTCACCATTCATAATTTTGTTCGAAAACCCCCAAATCCAAAATATGCAACTAAATTCAAAGTTTCTACATTTTATTCACCTTTTCTTACACTATCCATTTCATAGAGTTTGAACTCGCCCATTAAAAATTACAGTATCACCTGTCTTCAAAACAATATTGAATGGATGATCGACTTTAAAAACGGTTGGATCATCCAGGGAAACCTCCAGTTCATAGGTAACCATAAAGGTAGCTACAAAAATAGTAGTCAATAAGATCTATAGAAGTATTATTATGAACCCTAAAGCAATTTCGGTGTGTTAACATAACACTATCTTATACTTATTATAAAAAACAGAAGTACTAATCTTATAAATTTGCCATAAAAAACGATTATGTCCAGTGTTATGAAAAAATAACACTTTTCAAGGTATATATACTGAGACACACAACAGACACAATGAAATTTCTTCAATCACAAATTGCAAAAAAAATTTTTAATAATGATTTGCATACGATTGATCCTGTTGCATGCATGATTAGAAGTGTGGAATTCCGCAAACGTAGATGATGCATTCAAGTTAAAATTTTTACTATTCACCTTTTTTCAAAAATATCCATTTCATGGTGATTGAACGCGTCCATTAAATAAAATAACATCATTTGTTTTTAATACAACATGGAATGGATGATCGACGTTAAAAACAGTTGGAGCTACCCGAGACATAATTAGAGAATATCCAACCATCACGACAGCTACAAAAAATGTAATATATAAAAATATAAAAAAATGGTCCAACTTTTCTGTTGATATAAGTCGATTTATATCTAGTTTTATACGATTAGTTTATTTGAATCTACTACGTTACAACAAAATAGTTTTCAATACAAAAAACATTAATCCTAAATCAGTTCGAAATTGTAAAAAATAAAATTTCTGTATAACTCCACAAAATTACTATAAAAATATTACAATTACGTTTAGTATGCTTTAAAATATTTGAAGTATTCTTATACATTAAAAACCTTTAATATAAAAATTTATTTTATATTAAATCCTATGAGTACTGAAACCTCCATTAGTATCTAATGATTATCATATATATTAAAAAATATCAGTAGATTAAATGTAAGGTCTCTTAATACGTCCGTGAAATAATATTGTAGAAGTGATCCCCAAAGCAAAATAAAAAGGGCGATTGACCCTAAATCTGATAGGTTTCATAGGTAGAGGCCTCGCACATCCAAAACCGAAAGACAAGGCTAGAATTTAAAAAAAAATATTTGCCATTAACTAAGAATTACATAAAATACTTAAAGTACTAAAATAATTATTTCAGTTGCCTAAGATTGTTTATCCAGAGAAACGTTTTTTTGAAATAATACATCGTCATAAACAATCAAATCTCGGAAAAGAGAATAAATACCTGATAAATACTGAGAAATTGCATCATAAAGAAGAGCAGTGTTAAACCAAGTGAACCATGCATAACCACCAGTGACATTCAATAGCAAGAAAGCTTTTTTCATCTTCAAAAATATTTTAAAAAAATACTAACAAATTTAAATGATACATCATTTTAAGGCCAACGTGCTCGACCAGAGAACAGAGGCGTCGTTCGCCTGTGCATCACAGTGAAATGGAAAGGACTATCGGCATAAAATAATTTCGGTACTTGGTAAAAACCTACTGGAGCTGACAAAAGAACAAAACTAACACCTGTAATAAAAAAAAACAGTTCGGAATATAAATATCTAATTATTATTTGTCAAAACAAGTCCGCGCATATAATTACTTGAAGTTATAAAATAAATTCAGATCTAGGAAAAGAGAACAGTGAAGTCGTTGGTACATGAATCAATCCAATAAATACTGAAATTGTTTCACAAAGAAGAGTTATTTTGAACAAAGTGAATCATGCAAAACCACCATTGACATTCAATAGCAAGAAAGCTTTCTTCATCTTCAAAATATATTAAAAAAATACTAACAAATCTGAATTGAGCATCAAAGTTATGGCCAACATACGCGACCAGAAAACAGAGGCGCCGCTCGCCTTTGCATCACAGCAAAATAAAAGGGACTATCAGCATAAAATAATTTTGGTGTATCGTGAAATCTTGGAGCTGACAAAAAGACAAAATTAACACCTGTAACAAAAAAAATCAGCTTGAAATATGGTCAAACTATTTGTTTCAAAAAGAAGAGGATTGTGGTAGAGAGATCTCTTAAAAATGATAATAAGATATCTAAAGAGCTAATAAATGAAGAACCGCGTCTGATTTTTTGTTTTCAGCTTGGAAAGGATTGAGAGGATTGTGAATGATAGTTGGAAAACGGATATCAGAAATTTGAAAAAATAAAATCTGGTACATAAACGTAGCCAAATCCAGTTGCCGTTATTGTGCCTAAAAAAGTGATTCTTAATATCGAATTTCATGCTATAAAATTAGAAACTCACAATGAAGATTGATCTAATTTAAAATTTGAGGAACAAAATAATATTCCGTGAATTGAAGTGATAGAAGTCAATAATAATAAAACTATACTGTTTATGATCGATAGTATCGCCAAACGTTTGTACTGTATTTGTATTAATATTGTATGTTTTATATTACTTCTATTTTTAATTACTAGTTGATCATAAATAAAAAACAAAGCAGTTTTAATATTAGTTAACGCATATTTACAATAATATTTACAAGACTATTTACAAAAGCGTAAAAAAAAACAGTTACGGGTCCAGGCCGTGATGAGGGCAGACTTGTGTGCCTCTGGTTGAAGTAACCGAGCAGCAAATTGTAGTATGCGGCTGATGATAAGGCGGTAAACTGCATTGAGTGCTTCTCGTTTGCGTTTTACATGATTTACGAGATCGAAGCTTCGTAGGATACAATATTTTTCCATCCCGAGGAATTAACAAATGTCCACTGAAGAAAGGATAATAAGATCCGAGATGCAAAATGAACATGAATGGATGATTGACTTCCATCACTACGATCAGAGGTCTTGATCTCATCTGTATTGTGGCCGCTAAGCAATGAGATTTATTTCAGTTGTTATTAAAATAATATTAAAAAAAAAACTAGAACATAACGTTACTTAAGTGCGTACTCAGAATAAGCAAACTGAACTTTAGTTTTCAGTCACGTGAAAACATATTTTTCAAGAAACAGTTATATAAGTAAATAAAACGTTAGCAAACTAAACATAACTATAATAGTATAAATCATTTCGTTTCAAAATCTATAAACAAACGAGGACTAAAAACAATTCCAAATACGCACCCGAAAGGCACTTTGTTGAGTGCTTGATTTTATATCCTTTTTATATCGAATTATATAAAAATGTATTCGAGTAATATTTATCAAAGATTATCAAAATGTCGATTATCGAAATATCCACTGTAATTAATATTATTTTTTTCTAATTAATCTAAGGATTAATCTTTTAATCCTAGTCTTTGAGAATACTAATGGAGTCGATAACAGCAGGACTGTAGTATTCTCTGATTTACTTCAAAAATTCGATTTTCTTTTTCATTAATGGTATTTTATTATGAATGAAACGCATAATACAGCTTGTAAGTATCAAAATATATCATTTTTAAATTCGTACAAAAATAAAAACAGTTATCTTCCAGAGGGTTTCTTGAAATGGCCTTTAATAATAGATGTAGCAGATCTGATCGTCATGATAAAGGTAAAAGCATGATCTACGCACATAAGATTTATTTCAGGCATACTTCTCATTTGAACTTTTGCAGCTGTTGAAAAGAACCGAAAATTGTTATATATTGAAACATGTAAAAAAATCACTTAAACGTAACAATACCGATAAAAAATTTATTTGAAATATTCCAGTTTTTTTTACAAATTGAGATATATAACGAAAATGCAAGTTTGATTGCGTGGAATCAGGAACTCTAAAAGCTACGCCATGTAAAGAACAAATAAACTAAATTATTTATCAATAATTTGTCCATCGATTAGAATTCGAGCACATAAAAATTTGAAAAACTTAGTTAATTCAAAACTGATTTCTACTGAGAATCGTTGTAAGTAGCTTATATTTTCAAGCTCAGTCTTCCGATTGCTTGATCCTTTTATAGTTTATTAAAATAAATATTTATTATAGGTCACGATTTTGAAATTGGTTTTGTTGAAATTTTTAATTTAAGGAATGCGAACTCAAATGCAATAAAACAATCACATTTCTTAAAGATATAATTTAGTATACAACAATTATACATAAATTTTAATTTTTCTTTTATTTTTAGTCTTATGTTTTTTATCAAAATTTGTTAAAAAAATATTCACAAAAAATAAATATATATCATAACAATAAATTTGTACTTAAGATCCACCACTGAAATAGTGATGATAAAAAATACTGAATACTTAAAGCTGACAAATATAAATTGAACACAATGTTCTACAGGCACTGTTTCAGTAAGCAATTAAAAAATATTAGTGAAGTGCATTTGGCTTTTATTCAGTTGTTGGTTTAACAAGACGACCATTGAATAGAACAGAATTTTTGCTGTGTAAGAAGTACAGGAATGGATGCTCAGCATTGAAGGCCATTGGCATCATTGGCATACAACGCATCATTAACATCACGCCTACGAAAACAGAAATCGAAATTGAAATAAGATATTTAAAGCAATAACAAATTTTGTAAGACAAGAACCAGGCAATGAGGACGAAGATATATACTTATTTTGTATGAATATTTTCATGTGATACATATAAATTGCACATATAATAAGCAACTGGACGAGCTAGTGTAATATCACAAAATAACTTATTACTGTAATTTTCTATTTTTACCCCTTATAAAAATATACTATAATACCGTAACCAAAATCGAAACAGAAACAAAATGGAAATGAAGGAAATCAGGAAGGGTCAACTGGATCATTCATAGTAGGAGTAAATGATCTTGCTTAAAGCAATAAAAATTTAAATGAACATTGAATTTAAAATAAAAAATAGTCTTAAACAAAGCTTATGCCCGAGCTCCTTGTCACGTACATTATTTATGTACTACCAACATAATGAATTGATTCGATGCAAATAAACAATGAATCATTACATGAATAATTAACCTACATTAGACAAACAATAATAACAATCTTTTTAAAATATTGATCAAAGTTGGTATAAGTAACAGTCAGTTTGATCGTCATATGTCCCTGAGTAATTATTAATGTTTCTCAACAAATAATTATTAAAGAGATTAATTAGAATTCATCCCTAGTGTGAACTATTTCAGGACAGGTCCTAACACAACCCCTAAATATAACTTTTGTTTGCTTAGACATAGAAACACCACTATCAACAATCATGAATGTAAACATATGATCAGCATTAAATGAAATAGGGTTTTCGGACACCAGCAAAGAACGCTTCATACGGACGTGGCAAGCTGCATGGAAAAAACACAACATATTAGGCAAAATAAACCAAGAATAAAGAAATTCAATAAGCATTTACAACAATAGCTGAAAAGGAATATTTCATATATAAATTAAATTTTATAGCAAATTTTTCGACAAAAATTATTCATGTAAGAATTTTTTAAATTAAAACTAGATTATTATCATTACCTGTGGCAGCTGCAGCTTCAGCACCTTCTTCATTTACTTCAATGAAAGCTTTTTGAATTACTTTAGAAATATATAACATCTCATCAGATCCTTCAAGCAATCCTTTGAAATCAGCTTTTCCAGGAACAAACATATCAGACATACCCAACTACAAGTTGCATAAATTTTAAATAGAAATTTCTTTGTATTCCATAAAAATATTCCATTTAGTTACTGCTAAGTACAAGCCAATTCCATTTTATTAAGAAAAATAGTCTTCTTTAAAAATTTACTTCATGTAATTTATTCAAATAAACAGCTTTTTAAAATATTCGAATAGAAGCATATGCTTAGTTTATTCAAAATATGACTAAGTAAATGATATGAAAGCCGAGTTGGATGTAAGTTTAGAATTATTCAATATTGCGAATAAAATAAATTTTGAAAATTTATATTTACATAAACCTGAATTGCCAAAAAATGGATTAGCTTTGTAGCAGAAACTGTCCATGCATAAATCAAAGATTAACCTTTTTCAGAGGATCATTCAAATTAATTTCAGATTCAATCTTGAATTTAGGCAGATCCAAAATAACTTCAACAGAGTACATGCGTTGAGTCAAGTTTTGCAAGTCAACATTTTGTAATTTTTCTTCAAGAGCGGGGAGACCAGTTTTGCTGTTTGGCAAAATGATTAACATGGCCAAATCTGAGTTCCTGTAGGGCAATTCTACAGCCTATTATAAAAAATCATTTTAATCACACTACCTACATAATATAAATTATACAAAGCTAAGTTTAGAATAACCTTGGCATCTAATTCTTCAAATTCTCCATAACGGAATTTATCCTTAATGTGCATCATTCGTACATTCTTTGTCTCTGTTTCAGTAACATAGAAAGGTTTGTCTTGAGTGTTTTCCTTCTTGAATTGTTTCTCCCAAAGACCCTTGAAGTACAATGCATTGACAAGAACCATTCTTGAATCCTGGTCTAGATCACCGGCTTTGATCAAATCATGAATTTTGTCATGAGTTTTTTCTTCAACCTGTTTCAAGTTATTTTTAAATATTTGTTAGTAATACTTTTCATTTTGAAAAGAATAATGCAGCGATTTCTTTCCCTTACCCAAGTGTTGATAACTTTAGCGCTTTCAGCATTTTGGGCAAAGTTCAAGTTTTCTGCTCCAGCTAAGAATTTGTTGGTGGCAACTTCTTTGAAGGTGGGTTTCAATGTATAGCCTTCCATAACGTAAACTTTGTTGGCAATTTCCAGAGTTACACCTTTTTGTGTATTAAGAGTGTTCATCAATGCATGGTAGTCATCTTGAATTTTTTCTTTTGATTGAGGCTGACGTAAACCAGCAGCTATTTGTGTGGCAGTATTACCACCAGCTCCCATTGACACCAGGGATAGAACAGTTTGTACAGACAATGGGGACATGATGAGATTGTCTTTGTTGCCAGAAGCAACCGTCTGTAAATTATGTCATTTTTTGGAATATTGACTTTTGGAGAAGTCATGATTTTTATAAAACTAAATGTAAAATGTGGGTAAATAAAAGTATAAATGATTCAGCAATACCTGTTCATAAATGTACTTAAAAAAATATAAATAACTAAATAAATGGAATAAATATAAGGTAATGAAAGTGCACTCATACTCATCATATTTAAGTAAAAGTTGTATTTGTAAATCGCTTTAAAATTATACTTTAAAGACAAGATAATTCTTTCAATTCAAGGTTCGATTTTGATATAAAAATACTCTTAAATCTAAACCGAGTCCAACAAAACATATAATATTACTAACACAATTTTATTAAATCAATTGCAAATATTATAACTTTTATGTGAATTGTTTCAGCACTTTATATACAGTATATTTTTTGTGCCATTTAAACGCAAGTGAAGTATATATTTTCATATTTCAATAAAGTGCTTAATTTCAGGATTATCATACATACTTTATAATTGTCAAAAATAAATGATGTGAAGGAGAAACTCTTACGGACCATTAAGGATTAAGCAACAGATAAGTGTCAAACAGAGATTCATTATAAACTAAAAGGCTGATGCAATACCTTTAGACGACAATATGAATTGGGGTACAAATTATCATTACTACAGAAGTATATGTTGTTTATAATCAAATCTTTAGCTATCGATATAAAAGCAAACAGGGAATGATTATAAACTAAAAGGCTGGTGCAATACCTTTAGACGACAATATGAACTGGGGTACAAATTATCATTACTACAGAAGTATATGTTGTTTATAATCAAACCTTTAGCTATCGATATAAAAGAAAACACGGCCATGATGCTATTTAGTCATAGCACACGCCCAAGCAAAATAAATAAGTAATCACTCACATTGTACAGGCTTCCAGCAAACTGGTTAATACTTGTAGACAATTCCTGGGGATCCGCCATTGTTGAAATTGGTATTAACACTGATACAAAAAGAAACACAAGTCGTGCTGGAAAGAAAGAAAATGTATATTAGACAATGTATGTATGAAACATAGATGAATTGAAATTTTAACAAGTAAAATATTGAGTTAAAATACACTTTTATATCTGTAAATTTTACTAATCGACCTCACCGTGTTGAACTATCGCGTCAAACTGAGGACGCGGCATCAAAACTCTAGATATTAGAATCGTTTGTGAGTCATATTGTATAATATAGAAATACTAGGAATGTTTGAATAACACACTATATACATTCAAACATTTGGCTTCGCGGAACAACACACATGAATCTGTTTTATATTTCTGTCGTCCTTGGAATCACACAGTTTCCAAAAATTAGCTTCATTTTTATATTTGTGTTTAATTTATTTTGAACATGATGTCATTTGAATGATAGTTATTGAATTGATTTGTATGTATTTTTGGAGATACTGATTTTAATATTCTAAATGCGTAATTTGACTTTGCACAATAATTTTGAAGTTTGACATTTGACGTTTAAGCGAACTGTCATTTTGATAGGATGAGAGGATAATATTTTATAGAGGGCTCTGATGGCGCTGATAACGGTTTTTTAATTTGAATTTTTATGATGAAAAATTATTAACCCATAAGTTACTTATAATTATTATTTATTATTGTTATTATTATTATTTTAGTTATTATTTATTCAGTTATTTAATCCTTTTTGTTTTTGTTCTTTTTTTTCCTCTTTTTTATCATCTATACCCATTATCAACTTATAAATTTTAATGTAACTAGAAGTATATAATAAAATACAAAAAATTATGACCTCTTTTTATACTTTGATATCCGATTATGAAATATTCAAAAGAGCACAATACAAAACACGAAAATTTTCATCTAAAACGAACAAGAACAAATAAAACCAGGCTTCCGAAAGAGATAAAAATGACCAAAGAATAAAATAAATTTACAATTAAGTTAAAAGAATATTATAAAATTTTTGAATTCTTATATTTAATGCTAGTTTTTATAAGAACAACTTTATAAAATTATTACGGCTTATGATTTTAAAATGTATTATGTATATTGGTGTATTTAAATATGTGTGAAATTTAGATATAAGTTAATAAATAGTTCTATTATAACGTTTTTTGATTATTTTTAATAGCCTCGCTCGTCATAGGATTTATCAAGTTACAACTCTTTAAATTTATATTCTATACTTAATTTTATATTGTATTCCATTCATTTACAAAATATTTTTGCAACATATCGATATTTATTTGATGTTTATTGATTTATATCTCATTCTAATAAAAATTCTAGTCATGTTCACATTTATTCAGTACCTATCACTATTCCTTTTTTTTCAAGTATATTAATTGAATTTTATAATTTTTCAAATAAATACTGTTTTCGATATGAATATGATAGTAGGTACAATGTTCTAAGCAAATGTATTATTTTTTTTTTCTATTTTCTCATAAATTAGATACCTTATCAAAGATAATTGTGCTTACAATTATAAACTTAAGTTAAATGTTATACAAGTTATATGATTAAATCGAATTTGAAAGTTTAGAAAAACAGCAAATTTTATCGTACTGAGAGCAAGCAGCTAAATATAGATACCAACATCAATAAAAATTGTTAAGTTGAAAATTGATTTATATATATTGGTGAATCAGAGTCATATATTTGTTAGCAATATTCTAAACTAGAATAATATTTAAAAAATATCATATAAAAGGAATAAGTTATATCGACAAGATATGATTTCGCTTGATTTGTTATTGAAATTCAAACTTAAACAGCAAATAGTAAACAAGTGTCTATAAATACAATTATGAATTATAGAACACATTATACAATTGCACCCAAATTCTCTATATTTTATAATTTTACTTAGCATAGAAGAAAAACTTTGATAGCATTTTAATATTACATTTAAATCAATTACAATCAAAAAAAAAAAATTACCAAGCATATGTAACAAATCAATCAACAATGTTGATATGGGTTTATTTTCATACAAACGCAACTATTTAGGAATACAAATATTTAGAGAATGATTTTAGAAATAGTTTCCTAATATACAGTTATACTACAAATTTTGATTGAATTTTGTCCGTGAAAATTATAATTAGATACTAATTATTTTAACGTAAATATTTTAAACCGAGCATTGGAAGAAAAAATTTGATTTTCTAGCATTGACTTTCAATCTTTCTTCATTTTTCAGAAATTATTATATAAATGTTAAAAAATAGCATTTTGTAGGTCCTTTTTAAATTTGTACGCAAATTTTATTTAATAAATAAGGTTAAATAATTTTGAAATTCAAACAAATAATTGTCCCTTTATAAGTAATACCTATGGAAACCCATAAATAAAGTAAAATAAACAGACTTAAAATCTGAAATGTTTTTCTAGCAAACTTGGATAAAATAGTTATGTTGTGAACAATAATATAATTATAAATTAAATAATAAATTTTTAATTCTGATTAAATAGATGGAGCTAACATTGTCAATAGAAATTAATAAAGTCATATCAAATTGTGAATAATATTTATTTAAACTTTGTGCATTCAAGTAAAGAAAAAACTGAAAAAATTAATTTGTATTTATACAATTTCATAATACGTATCACAAAAATTCTACAAATGAATTGCAAACAATCAAATCAGATTGCACATATGTTTTTGTAGAGGCGTATGTTCATTAATAACCAAAAATAAATATTTGTTGCAACGGTATGCAGAAATTTACACACACACACACACACACATATATATATATATATATATATATATATATATATATATATATATATATATATATATATTTTGCAGTCTAAATACCAACTTTCTTATTGCAATAATAAATATGCGGAACAACAAGTAAATGGTCTAAAGACGTCACCAATCATTTGACCTTCGCATATGATAATTTCTTATAATATATGAAAAGCACACATTTTTGTCATATTTATTTTTAATACATATTCCATCCTGTGTAAATTATTTGCAAAAGACAAAGAGGTGCTATATAATGTATTTGCAGTAAATTCTTACAATTACGTAACTTTAATTAGACAACATGTGGTAATTAGATTTTAATATATGCACTCTATCCGTTTCAAAATAAAAAAATATTAACAATTTTTTTATAAGTATATATGAAAATGCTCTCTGAATTCCAAGGATAAAAAATAAGTAAATACTTGTTCATTGTAAACTTTACTGAAACCACAGATTAATGAAATTAACTGGATTTTTTTGAAATTTGAAAGTTTTTTTTAGCAAATAGAGGTATGTTTTTAATCGTAATGAAATTCATAAAATCTGAGATTTTCAATTGACTTAATTTTGACCTTTTATTCTATGATTCCTTACTTGTCAGATAATCTTTTTAAATTTGCCTTTCATGATACTGTGGATTTTTTTCTACCTAACAACCTTTGACCAATTTTTTGACCGTTATCAAATTTGGTGTTTATAAGTTTACTTATTTTTTTAAATCATAGAAACGATTATTGGGTAGCTACTAGATATACAATAAAATAATTTTACATTAAGTACTTATCATAAAAAAGCTTGACAAAAGTCTGAAATTATTATTATTGATTGAAAATTGTTAATTAAAATAAGAATAGAAATGATAGGAAATAAAAATAGGATTTTTTTTGCTATAATTGAGAATCATCTAAAAAGCTTCAGCATTCAAAGGACTATCCCAAAACAAATCGATCCTCTGATAGTCCGAATAAAAGCTCGACCTGTTTTGGTAAAAAGCCAAAATTACTTTTAATGTCAGCTATAAATTATTATTTAATTTGCGAGGTCAACAACTTGCTGGCCATTGATCGATGGTAAAATAAATTAATACCTTTGAATACTGAACTAGTTATAGAAGAGTCAAATAATATAATTAGAATTATATAATGAGCAAAAAAATAATGAATATTAATAGGAAATTGGACATGGAAAAAATCTAATGGAACTAGTTTTAGTCATGTATCTTGTACCTGAAGATGTCTTGCAAAACCAGAAGTAATTATGTAATCAAAATTGACAACAATGTATGAGATCAAGTTCACGATTATTATGGAAATTTATTAGATTATAAATTATTTTTATTTGATAGCTAATTGCAAATTTGAATTAATTTTACAAATGACTATTTTACACAATCATTGAAATATTCTTCAAAGATCTAATCAGGTTAGGGCTATAAGATTTAAATCAGAGGTTCAATACTCGCGTCGGACAGCCTGATGTCAAGCTGTAGTGACATTGGCATTTACTTGGAAATATAGATATTAATTTGATCGTTCAAATAATATATTTAAAAAAGTATCCAATTATATTAAAACTGTCTATAATAAAATTATGATATATATTTCAAAGTAATTTAATATACTAACTATTATCCATACAAATTTTACATGTATGTGTCATGTTCGCACTATTGTAAACTGCGTAACATGATCTCGAACAAGGTCGATTCGGAGACTAATAAAATAACAAAGTATCAATTGAATAATACATCATTATTATCAGAAGTAATAAAATAAACATTATTTGAATTTGATGGATATTTAAATTACTCAAAAAATGATCGACGGTTTTTTCAAAAGTAAATTCACAAATTGATACTTTTTTAGATGAATAAGTGAATTGAAAATTTGTCACATCAAATTGTAAATTATTGGAAAATTTAATTTTAATGACCGACCGATATATATATATATATATATATATATATATATATATATGTATACATATATATAATATATATATATATATATATATATATATATATATATATGTATACATATATATAATATATATATATATATATATATATATATATATATATATATGCACAATATATAAATATGCTACAATCAGTGATGCCATTTAAAATGCAATTTCTAATTTAATTTTTTAATGTAGGGTTATAATAATCGTTCAGAAAATGATAATTTTAGATAGTTTAGCTAATTTAATTTACTTGCTAATAAGTTAATAAAAAACTAGCTATATTTTATATACACTTAAATAAGGTGCTGAACTGCTGAAATTGCTAATATTAGTTCTATTGTATTTTCAATATCCAGCCAATATAAAATTTTCAATATTCAGCCAATATAATATTTCCAATGTGTAGTAAATATAATATTTCAAATATTTAGCCAATATTGGTATAATATGGCTAAAAAGCCATAGAAATTTATTTACTTTAATACTTCCTAGATTATTATTATTATTATATTTATACTATCTTCAATTATTTATTCTCTATTTAATATAGCAAACAATTTCACTTACTCACTACTTTACTCTAACCTTTGATCATGATCATGAATCATGAGATCATTATGTGATAGTTCTAGTAATTATATAAATACAATTGAATTTTGAGACATAAAAATTTAATAATG